CCTTCCCGATCAAGTGCAAGTTCTTTCATCAGATGCTTGATCCCAAGCTCCATTCTACCTCCTGAATTAAGGTCCCGGAGAAGCCCGCCTTGCTCAGCACAAGTGCATCAATGAAGTCCGAAGCCTTGAACGTGGCCTTGGCCTTGAGGAAGTCATCAACACCCTGGCTAGTGAGGGTGCGGTACTGCTCCAGGATGATGGTGTCTGAAGTTGTGCACTAAGTCAGAGACTCTGCAGAAGCACTGCTCCTCAGGAATGAGGTAGTAGAGGAAGTCCATGCACAGGCAGATCTGCTGGTGCCATTACACTATGAGGGCACTGAGCTCCAAGGTGGCGGCAATATATTCACTGGCATTCCTGCAGAGTGAGGCTGGAGAGAGGAAGTAGCTCCACAACACATATGAAACCCTGGAAGCTCTTCCCAGCCAAAATCTCTGGACCACACTACTTCCAGAAACGGGTGCCCTCTGAGCACACTTGTCTCTCTGTCTCCCACTCCGAGATCCCTCCTGGCCCTACATGCCCCAGTCTGGACCAGGACTTTGAGCCCAGCAGGTGTTCAGTCCATGGTGTTGACTGCTCCCTGGGCCAGGAGAGCCCTTGGTGGCTCTGTGACTCCTCCTGTGGGACCACTGCCTCTGCCTCAGGACCTCCCGATTCCCATGGGAAGACCCCAAGGCTGTGGATTGCCCCACCTGCCCAGGGATCTTCCAACCCCATAGGCCTTACTTGATGCCTTAGCCCTCCCAGAGCATGACATGCTTCTCAGAAGGTGACTTATTTCCAATGCCATCTGTGGATGTTTCCTGGGGACCTCTTGCTGCTCTCCTTTATAATCTGTAGGTCAGGGCCAAGAGGAGAAACCAGCCCAACCTCAGAATAAACAAAAGGCTCACTGCCACAAATGGCAACCGCCAAACAGTCAACAGTGCTTCTGGAAGGAAGGAGGCTTCATTCTGCACAAAGCTCCTTGTTTGGCTTCTTTCTGAATCCGGGGAGGGGTAGGTACCAAGCCCAGTTTACCTGTGGTGTCTGTGCCTAGGATGTACAATGGGCCCCTGTTCCCACTGCAGGGTTGACGTTCCCTCCAGCTGGAGACCTGGGCTCCTGACACCACCTGACCTGTTTGTCCTGCACTGGATGAACATGGAAAGGCTGTACCTGGTATTTCCCTAGGCCCTTGGTTTCCACCATCTAGACATCCAGCAGGAGTGGCCATGCCCAGCCCCACACCTGAAAGGGAACTCCCTCATAGAGCAGCCGAGACATGTAGGGATGGAAGAGTGCTCGGTGAGACAGGCCACAGGGGTCCCAGGGAGGATCGGGGGTGGAGGATTCTGGAGGTTTCCAGCCTTGGGCTCTGTGGTTCCTCAAAGAGGTTAGGCCCACCTAGTACCAGGCCTCCCCTCCCATGATTCAA